TGCCACTGCCAGGCTACTGTAGCAAAGGCCATCTTTAAGGGTAAATCTGAGGGTGCTGGGGAACCCCCTTCTCACCCACACAAAGGCCTACCTCCCAAGGCTGCTGGCAATACCTGAAATCCCTGCGGTGATGAGCATCCTGACCCTCCACCCCAGCTGGGAGCCCCTTGCCTTGGTTCCCTCACTTAAGAAAATGCACAAACAGTCAGAGCTGATTCTGAGGACTTGTGAAGGGAGCCGACCCCAAATCATGTGATGACAGGGACAGATGGGCACCCAAGAGGCAGCCTAGAGAGAAGCTTTTAGCCAGACTGGTTTAAATTGGACTCCAAGAGCACTGACCATGTGAACTTTGGGAGGATACCTGATTGCTCTGGGCCTCAGTTTTTTCATCTACAAAATAGAATAAGAGTTACTATCTGGCAGGGTTATAGTGCGGATTCAATGAGATGGATATTGAGGGTATTTGACGAGGCAGCAGGGCCTGGTGCCCAGAAGGAGATATAGATCGCAGATGAGATTATTAGTCATTCTGGGGTCAGATAGAACTAGTGGATTTGGCACGTCACTCTAGTCCTTGCTAGACAACACAGAAACTTCTTGGCCTGGCACTTAAGACACCCACCCTATGCATATTTAAAAAAAAACACCTAAAAGACTAATTTGAAAGACTGTATGTTCATTGTAGCATTGTTTACAATAGCCAGGATATGGAAGCAATCCAAGTGTCCATCAATAGGCAAGTGGGTTAAAAAGCAGTGGTACATATATTCAAGGGAATATTATTCAGCCATAAAAAATAATGTGATCTTGACATTTGCGACAGCAAGAATGGACATACAGGGTATTATGCTAAGTGAAATAAGTCAGTCAGAGAAAGACAAATACCATATCATTTCACTTATATGTGCAACCTAAAGAACAAAATAAACAGATAAACAAAACAGAAACCAATTCATAGATACAGAGAACAGACTGATGGTTGCCAGAGAGGAGGGGGGTTTGGGAGGACTGGGTGAAAAAGGTGAAGGGATTAAGAAATACAGATTGGTAGTTACAGAATAGTCACAGGGATGTATATCTTAGCATAGGGAATATAGTCAGTAAATAACTATGTATGCTGCCAGGTGTGTACTGGAAATATTGGGGGGGGCACTTTGTAAAGTATATGATTATCTAACCACTATGCTGTTCACCTGAACTAATACAAAATAATATTGACTATAAACTGTAATTGAAAAAATTTAAAAAGAATGCTAATTTTTTTTTAAAAAGACACCCACCTGCCTTTTCACCTCCCTCACTCATGCTTTGCTCCAGCAGCTCCAGCATTCTTTCATACCCTAAGCTTTTACTGAAATTACATGTTTACTATGTGTTTACTGGTCTTTCTCCCCAGCTTGACAATGATCCCCTAAAGAACCATGACTATTTCTGGTTTCTCCATGTCCCTGGAGGCCAGCACAAGGTCTGGCCAGGGTGCCCAGTGCCTAAAGTTCATTGCATTATATGGAGTTCTGTGGCTTCTGAAGGCAGAACTGACCCCGTGGTTCAGTAATGCAGGAAGGAATGTGCAGTGTGAGGAAGGCGTTCCTGTCTGAACTGTCCAAAGGCAGAAGGGAGACGTGGTTAGTTTCCTGGAAGCATTCAAGTAGAACCTGAGCGGGTATTTGGCAGTGATGTGATCACCAAAGCCCAACTGGATCAGCAGAATCTATGAGCCGGGGGAGAATGTCTGAGTTGGAAAGCTGTTCAGAGACCCTCAAGTCCAACCTCCTCAACACACAGATAGGAAGACTGAGGCACAAAAGGGGAACAGAGTTGCCCAAGGTAAGCCAATGCCAAATCCAGGATGAGGAGCGGGTCTCCTGGCTCTGCAGAAAGAGGACAGGTATTGCTATATCCGTTTTACAAAAGAAGAGACTGAGGCCCAGAAAGAGGTGGAAACTTGCAGAGATTTCCAAGGGAGTCTATGACAGATCAAAATCCACCTCTGGCTTTAAGGTTCCCCCATGGCTACCTGGGCTGAATGGTTTCTGGCTGCAAGAGGAGGTAAGAGCCAGGAGCCTGATTCCCAGCCTTGGTGAGGCTGGAATGGGTCACACTTCCTGGGGCCATTGGTCAGCGTCTCCTGGCTGGAAAAGCCACCTCACACACCCCTGGCTCCAATCACCAAAACTCTGAGAGTGGAGGCCCGCAAGGCACTTATTACCCACCCACTGTGGAGTCTGAGGAGGAAACTGGGCCTCAGAAAGGGGATGGCTGACCCAAGAGCCCAATGCCACCCTGGCCCAGCAGGACAGTCCTTGGCCACAAACCCTTTTTCTCTCAGGAGAGAGAGAGAGAAAGAGAGACATTCTCCC